CCTTCTTATTTTCCTCCTCCTTTTTTGCCTGCAATGTGCTCGGTGCGACGCTGATCGATGATAGAAACAGCTCACGCCCCCCCCTGTTACAGGAACACTCGGCCGACGCGTCTTCCGTCGGCCTTTACAACGGGCCCCCGGTTTTTGGGGTGCTTCAGCCCGGGTTTGTGCGCCGAGTGCCGTGCAAGTGCGTCGATTTCTTCTTCTCCTCCTCCTCCTCTTCCTCCCCTTCTCCTCCTCCTCCTCCCTCCTCCTCCTCCTCCTCCTCCTCCTCCTCCCCGCCCCCCCTCCCTCCCCCTCCCCCTCCCCCTCCCCCTCCCCCTCCCCCTCCTCCTCCTCCTCCTCCTCCTCCTCCTCCTCCTCCTCCTCCTCCTCCTCATGCTCATCGGCCTTCTCCTCTTTCCCAACCGCACCCTTCCCCTTTCCTCATCATTCTTCCCAACCTCGCCCGCGCGCACATGGATGGAGATGGCTGGAAGTAGCCATAGGAGAAAGAGGGAGGAAGGAGGCGGAAGAGACGGGGTGGAGGCGAGAGTAGGCGAGAGGAAGGGCCTGGGGCATAGATAGGGTGGGGACGAGAGGACAGAGGGAAGGGGAGGGGACAGGAGAGAAGGGGTGAACGCAAGCTAAGTGCGCTCGCGCTAGATCTGACACTTGACTCCTCCCACCCGTTCCTTCTCATGACGCTGGTTTTGCTGTGTGCGCCGACGGGTCGCAGAGCAGACCTGACCCCTCCGACAGGACACCATTGTGTTACGCGCGATCAGACAGGGGGAGCTGTGTACATACGTGGAGGGAGGAAGACGTGGCGGACGAGCTGGAGGATGAGCAGTAGGAAGAGGAAGACGAGGAGGAGGAAGGAAGAGGACGAGGAGGAACAGCAATCGCAAGAACAAGACTTAGAGGAGCGGGAGGAAGAGGAGAAGGAGGAGGAGGAGGAGGAGGAGGAGGAGGAGGAAGAGGAGGACCAGGGGAAAGCGGAGGAGGGAGGGTAACGGAGCGGCGAGACAACGATAAGGAAGGGTTCGAATACCTCAAAGTGGCGCGAGCTGGTGAGAGAGCGCCACTGCGAAGGACGGGAGGAAAACGCCGATGCTGAAACGAGGCCCACGCTGCAGCGGGAACGCCATTCTGAAAGGACGGAGAACATCCGGATTGCACGGCAGAAACAAAACAAACTCGCATCAATACGGTGGGGAATCAACAAGAAACAATACACGGAGGGGAGCGCGCCACTCTCATCACGTTATCGCGGGACAAAGGAAGGTATGATTCCGATTGAGCAGTTGTGGAGCGGAGGGCCTGGTTCTGTCTACACTTGCCTCGGAGGGCACGAGCTGAAAAAGGGACGTGCAGCATGGGCCAGCAAGAAGGGGGGATGGACAAAAAAACTGTCTACCGAAAACCTCGACCTTAGAAACTCACGCATCCCTGGAACAATAATGCAACTCTCGCGCGCGCTCCGTCTCCCCGCGTCCCTCAACTTCACCGCGCGGGGCGCCGCGCGATCCGCTTTGTTCGCCGTCGGCCGCAGCTGATTCAACAATGAGATCGGGGGTGCGGAGGGGGGGCGGGGCAGGACATTGACAAAACAGCTGCATTACTCTTCCTGTGGGGTTGTAAGTTTGGTGCTCTCCAGACCCTCCATGCCCCTCCCCTCGGCTCCAGCAGCATGTGCTGCACCCCGAGGAACCACGAGGAGAGAGCGTCCTCGGGCACGGCCATGTCCAGCGTCCTGCTCGCGGGGGGGCTGCGCAGTGACGCGGAAGCTTGGCGGCGCAGGGTGGCGGGAGAGGGGGAAGAGGGGGCACGGCGGGAGGGATGAGGATGGATAGGAGGGACAGCCAGCGTGCTACAATAAGGGGCGCTAAGTAGGGGACGATACCACTCACTGGCCCCGAGGACAAACGCCTGGGTGCACGAGGCACGCTGGAGGAACGACCATGGAATGACGCCATGAAAAGCGAGCCCCTTCCGAAACCGACCTGCTCCTTATTCCAGCGAGTTGACTGGCGGAGGGCGAAGGGGGGCGGACGCGAGGGGGGGGAGAGGCCGACGGCGGCGGGAGGAGAAAACCAGAGCCAGCAGGGAGGAGGACGAGCGGGGAGGAGGGAGATGGAAGAGGACGAGGAGGGACGGAGGTGAACGAAAAAGGGGGAGAAGGACGGACGCAGGAGGAGGAATGCAAAGAGGGCGGGCTCAACGAGGGGGACGCAGGAGGAGGAGGAGGAGGAGGAGGAGGAGGAGTCCCGGGTCCTGTCGTGGAACAGCAAGCTGAAGCAGCACCAAGGCGGGTCCTCCAGGGTGGAGTAGCGGACCTGGGGGGAGAAGCAGGAGGTCTGACGCCCAATATGCGCCTACACCTCGTCGTCGTCGTCGTCGTCGTCGTCGTCGTCGTCGTCCTTCTCGTCCTCCTCCTCGTTCCCTGGACCTCCAGACCCCCCCTCGCCACGATGGCTGGACGAGGCTTGGAGACCACGGGGTCAAGGTTTTCCACGGGAAATCTCTGGGGACATCTACGCCGATCCTGGCCAGCCTCCGTGGCCCAAAACCGGTATGGATTCCTGCCGCGCAATTGGAAGGGTCCTGAAGGAAACGGCTCGTGGATCCAACAATTTCCCCAGGAAATCTTTGCCATGCTGCAGCGTAAACTGCTAAGCCGGCAGAACACATGCGGTGATTGACCGCGCAGTGACCACGGAATCCCGAACGACCTCACCGCACGGTCCGTCGAGTCACCGCATGGCTCTAGGACCCTGGAGGCCCTACAACTTGCGGAACACATGGAAATGGAAGTGTGCAGTTGTGATACGCATCCGTGTGAGCATCACATCCGAAACACCCCGATGCAGCCACAGCGGGCGCTGCGCGCACGCCCACCAACAAATGATTAAACCAACGAAACGCTTGACGCGCCTGAGCGGTGCCCCCTCCGCATTTGAACAACCTCGAGACTCTCCGACTCCCGTGTTTCATACTATGAGGAGTAAGTGCCGGATGGGACTCTAAATCTTCATAAATGGTGCGGTCTCAAGCGGCCTCAACGTGCCCCGAAATCGGCATGATGATTGAGTGCAGGATGGGTCTTAACATCATCATCATGTGTACCAGTAAGCACACCAGGTGAGACCCCATACCGGTCTCTAACGTCCTCAACACATGGCAGTGTGCTCCGAAACCCTCGGCACGGAGCACACCTGCGAGTCTCACGCGGCCTCCAGGTGCCATGAAACCTTCGACGCCGAGCGCATCCCCACGTCTCGCGTGGCCTCAAAGTGCCACGAAGCCCCAGCGCCGAGCACGAGCACGATCTCATGAGGTCTCGAAGTAGCACGAAACCCTCGGCGCCGAACCCAATCAAGCGTCTCACATGGTTTCAGAATGTCTGAACGTGCCGAGAAACCTCCGGCGCCGAACAGACCCGTGCGTCTCACAAGAACTCAGAATGCGACAGGACCGTCGGCGCCGAGCACTCCCTACGCACACTACAAGGTCTCGAAATAATGCGAACCGAATCACGCGTCTCACACCACTTTATAACGTCTGAAAGTGCCACGAAGCCTCCGGCGCCGAGCAGCTCCGCGCGTCTCACAATATCCCAGAGTGCCACGAACGCCTTGGCGCCAAAAACATTCGCGCGCGCGCTGCATGGCCTCAGAACGCCCAGAAACCCTCGGCGTCGAGCGCATCCGCGAGGTCCACGAGGGGCTCAAAATACAGCGGAACCTTCAGCGCCGACCACATCCGCGGGCCTCGCACGGCCCCAAATTGTTACGAAACATGCGGCGCCGAGAGCACCCGCGCGTCTCGCAAGGTCTCAAAGCACCACGGGCCCCTCGGCAACCTGCGACCAGAGACTGAAACGGCGAAGAGCACCAGGCAGTGGCCGGCCTGGGGCGAGAGCGCATGTCAACCCCGTCCTCGTCGTCGTCGTCCACGTCCTCGTCGTCTTGGTGGTCGTCGGATCGTCGTCATCGTCGTCGCCGTCGCCGTCGTCGCCGTCGCCGTCGTCGCCGCCGCCGCCGCCGCATTCGCCGTCGCCGTCGCCGCCGCCGCCGTCGCCGTCGCCGTCGGCCTAACACGGCACGGCACGGCACGATTTTCGCACTCTGGAAATCAAACACGGCACAGCGCAGGACGGCACCGCACACTTATCGCAGCCCCAAAACCATGCACGGCATGGCACGTCGCATCTTTTGCATTCTGAAAGCCAGACGCGGCACCGCACGGCACAGCACGCCTGCGGCACATGCGTCGCGCTCTGCGTTCGAGAACGATGCTTCTAAATGCAATTGATTACGATGCATTCGCTGGTCAGGGAAACGCGCAAGCATGCCATAACGCAAGCTCACAACAAACAAGCATACAATCATATCGGAATTGAGAGGGCGATGGCATACAGTACCATTGCAACCCTGATGCAGACGTCACAGAGAATGCGGGCCCGACGCGAGCGCGGAATCCATGTCCAAACAGTGCTTGTCGGACTGCAACTGCCCGATGCGTCCTCGGAGAACGACCCCGGTCCCAAAACCGTGCGGTCACCCCGAATCCCCACTGACTCACCACGCGGTGTGGTCACCCCACCCTTTGTAGGGATCCCTAGAACTCGGCACGGCCGAGGAAGGAGACGGTGTCTGCTGCTCGGATGGTGCTGTCCGAAGCCGGCAGCCGCTGCCGCCGACCGAAGGAGACGACCACCGCCGCCGACCGCGCTTCCCTGGGAAGCTGGCAGCGGGCCCTGCCCGACGTGGCCAGGAGCTACCTGCTGCCAGTCTTACGTCGGGCGTGTCCCCCTACAGGGGGATTTTGGGCAAAAAACTAAAAATAGTCAAACAATACCCCCAAATACAAAAACTGCAAAAAAATAATCCCCAGACCATTTTTTGACTCTTTTTGAAAATTCCTCCTGTCGAGGGGCATGCCCGACTTAATGCCAGTCGCCATCGTCCGCGCCGCCCTCGCCTCGGCCCTCTCGAGGAACGCGGCGGGGCCCCCGCTCACTCCCGCTGCCCTTGGGGGAGCGGCCTCCGCGCCGGGGCCGCAGGTGGCACTGGCGTTAGGTCGGGCACGTCCCCCTTACAGGTAGAGGAAAAAGAACTATGCACATGCACCGATTCTGGCCAGGCCCATCCTGAGCCAAGGATCGGTGCATACGCCCTCCTGCCTTGGCCAGGAAGGCATATGCACCGATCCTGGGTCAAGGTTGGGCCTTGCCAGGATGGGTGCATGTGCATAGTTCTCTTCGCCCGAACAGGCAGAGCTTGGTCGAAAAAAGAAACAAAATAATCAAACAAAAAATCAGACAATCGACCCCCGACTCTTGTTGCTATTCTGGCAGCTTCCTCTCGCAGAGGTGCAAGCCCGACTGAATAACTGGTGGTGCGTGTGCTCTTGCCGCCGTACCGGTACCGGGCTTCGGCCAGGGCCCGCCTCCGCGCCCGTTTCCCGGACACCCCGGGGACCGCCGCCGCGAAGGTGCTGGTCACGGGGCCGAAGATGATGCCGGCGCACTCGGCCAGGTCCATGACCTGGGGCTCGTCGCTCCTCGACTTGCCCCAGCACACCTTCGCCCCCGGGAGGGGAGGGAGGGAGCACTCCCCCCCCCCAGCTCCTGCTCCTGCTCCTCCCTATTCGCGGGGTGTCTCCTTAAGGAGGGGTAGGATTACGGAGGAGGGGGATTAAGGAGGAGGGGGAGGAGAAGGGAGGAGGAGGAAAAAGGGGAAAAAAGGGGGAGGAAGATTAAGGAGGAGGAATCCTCCCTCCTCCTTAATCCTCCTCCTCCTTAATCCTTCCCCTCCTGACTCCTGGAACCTCCAGGCAGGGGGCTCTGGGGGGAGGGAGCAGGGGCAGGACCCCTCGACCGGCCCCGGCAGGCCTGCACCTTGCCCTCGTCGACCCAGAACACCCTGCGCATCCGCTTCGAGTTGCTGTAGTTGTACTTGTACGCCGTGCCCCCCTCGGACAGGAGCAGCAGGTGCTTCTGCAGTGCCCGTCTGGCTGCCACGGCCGCCCTCTCCTGAGAGGAGCAGTCAGCGGCAGGAGTCCAAACCTTCGGAGGCCCGCGCGGGTCTTGAAGGGGCCTAAAGACACACGAACAAATACACACCAATCCCCAAATCCCCCTATATTTCATACGTATTTATGTATATATATATATATATACATACATATACATATATATATATATATATATATATATAATATAATATATATATATATTCATATTATCATATTTTTGTTACCCGGAACACCCCCACACTCCCCCCCCGAAACCGGACCATCACCCCCAAGACACCCCAGACGCCCCTGCCCTCCACCCAACGAGCGCCCTGGACGCCTTTTCGGAGTCCAGGCGGCCTTCCGGGCAGTTGGACGCCCCTGCCGATCGGAGCCCACGGGCCCAAAACGGGCCCCAAGACGGCCCATCAGCGCTCAAAGAGGACCCAATTTGGTTCCAAGACGGCCCACGAGGCCCCCAACACGGTCCAAGAGGCCCCAAAAGGGACCCCCAAGAGCCAAAAATCGTCCCATTCCCTGAAGAAACGTACGCTTTTCACGATATTAGCATTTTCCGCTTTCGCAGCGTCCACGGCATCCCCAGACTCTCAAGATCGCCCCAGGACGGCCTCCGAGGCCTCTATGAGCGGCCCAAGGCGGCCTAAAAGAGCTCCAAGACGGATCAACAGAAGCCCAAGGCGGCCCAAGAGGGGCCCCAGAGGACCCCGAGAACTCCCAAGAGAGCCCCAAGAGAGCCACAGGAGGCCCCCAAGAGTGTCCCAAGAAGGCCCCCGAAAAGCCCCTGGCCGGCCCAGCCCCCCAAAACGGCCACAAGAAGGTTCCGGGCCGGCCCAAAAGGGCTCCAAGACGGCCCAAAACAGACCCAAAAGGAATCCTCTGGTCCGGAGAGTCACCAGGAGCTCAACCGCGAACCCACACCGTTCCAATATAGTTTCCAGCAGTTCTCTTACACTCCACGATAGTTCGCAGGACGGTGGTTCGGAAGGACCTCAGAAGCCCCAAAAGCGTCTAGGACCCCTCCAGGCATTCGGGAAGCGAACAATCGTCGTCGCCGCCGCCGTCGTCGTCTCTCTCTCTCTCTCTCTCTCTCCCGTCCCCCTTTTCTGCCTTCTTTGTCGACCTCCACGTCCTTGGCATCGGATGGCCATCCTCATTCGCCCGCTCCTTTCTCTGGACCTTCTCCCCGTTTCTGCCCCCTCTTCCCCCCTTCTGCCCCTTGAGCCCCCCCTCCCCCTGCTCCCTTCCCGTTCCCCGTTCGTAGACAGGTGCTATCGCAACCGTTTGATGCTTCGTCGCGTGTCAGCACATTCGCGCGTGATAAAAACACCCTTCCCTCCCCACTTCTGCGAGCAGGCATGCAAGCCCATCGGGCGAACGCACTGTTAGCAAGGTCCAGGGATAACAGACAAATGAGCTCTGCTGAAACACGCGATGCCTTATTGCTTTTCCGAGAAGCGTCTGGAACAAGGCGCATGGCGCGAAGCGCCAATGCAGTCTTGTGTAGATATGTGTATATATATATATATATATATACATAGATAGATTTGTCATGGGTCTTCGTGGTCCCCCCACGCCCTATTTTCCGTCATTTTCCTGGGGATCGACGACTCGTTGTGTCTGTGTGATTTTCCCCCTCCTGAGACCTCTTGGCTCCCGGGTCGGCGCTGGACGCCCCTGCCGACGCCTCGGGCGCCGCCCCTGGTGGCGCGCTCCGCGCGCCAGGGGAGGGGGGGGGCCCCGGCGCCGAGCGGAGAGATCCGCGCGGACCTCTGCAAACTTTTTGGGGGCGCCGAGGCGTCGAAGTGCCATAGCCGCTCCTCCCCGGGGCCTCTCCTGGGGCGCAGGCGGGCCAGAGTCTCGAGAGGCAGTCGTGGCGACGAGGGCTCCCCAGGACGAGCAGCAGCCTCTCGGAGAACCCGGGCCCCCGATGCCGAGATTTTGCCATACAGTCGGCCTTGATGGGACAGGACACGCGGGAGGACACGACGAGACCCTTCCGAGGGCCACATCGCCACAGGAGTGTAAGAGGGCACGCGTCGCGAGGCACAGGACACAAGGGTACCCTTGAGCTGGCAGGGTCGACCTACTAATCCGGGCCGATTGTAGCGTCGACCCCCGGAGGTGTAGCATGGGGGAAAAGCGGTCCGGAGAGAAAGGGGTCCTGGACCCTGGGGCCGTCCCACAAGACGACCTCTTCATCCTGAGACGTTTTCTGGCAGTCCCAGGGCCCGTGTATGGCCCCGGGAAGTCAAAATCGGCGAAGAACCTCAGGACCCGACTCTTCATCCTGCGTAGCTGTTTGACGCTCCCGGGGTCTGGCGAGTGCTCCCGGAGACCGAACCTATCAACAAAGCAGAGTCCGCCGTGCTTCCCCCCTCTGCTGCGAGGCGGGGATGTATCCATATCCGCCGCCTGGGAACCAACGTCCTGGTGGCCCAGCGGGCGGTGGGTATGGATCTGTTTCGGCCCCCGGGAGCCCGAGTTTGTCCATATCCACCGCCTGCCTGGGTCCCGAAAATTTGGGCGCCCAGAATGGGTACGGAACAAATGGGCACAATGCCCAACAACAAGTGTCTCCCAAAACCGACAGTGGCCGCTGTTGGGCAGGCGGCCTTCTGCCTTGAATGAACAAAGTCCGCGGCGGCGCGGACAGCGAGTCCTGTTCAAAATGAACAGGAACTGCTGTCGACGGGCATCGTATCCCATTTTTCCGCATCCATTTCGATCGCCCCGAAATTGATCCTCCAGCCGGTGGTCATGTATAAATTCCCGCGTCGGATCTGCGGAGTTCTTTCTCCGCCGATCTCCAGGGCTTGGCACCACTCCGCGGCCTCCGACTCGGACGCGGCCTGGAACACGTGGCGGACAGCCACGGGCACGTGCCCCTGCACCTCCAGGCACGCCCCGGGCAGCGCGCGCACCTCGCACCTGGGGGAACCAGCCGGCACCGACACCGCTGCTTGTTTGTCGTCGTCGTCGTCGGCGGCGGCGGCGGCACCGTCGATGGCAGTGTCGACGGCAACTCTGACAAGAACTGCGCGGCGAAGCCAGCCGTGACGACAAGAACCTCCCGTAGGAGGCTCCCCAAAAGGCGAAAGCGAGGCAGGGGGAACCTGAGTTCGGGCATGGCGGAGTTTGGAAGAAAAACGAAGTAGTCAAATAATACTCAACAGTAGCCAAAACAAGACTGGAAGCATCGTCTCCAGATTATGTTTTGATCAATTTTGAATATTCCTCCTATGCAGGAACACGCGCGACTCAAGGGTACTGGTATCGGTACCTCATTCGGCAATGCACAATATCCCTCTGTTAATTTAGTAGACCACCCTTTAGTGCAAACGGCCTAGGACCGAAACCGACGGACCTGGACCCGCAAAAATGATGGCCGTGACGCCCTCTCGCGAAGCGAAAACGGCCAATAAATTCACTGATCGACGTGTCAGGGTAAGGGGTCCATCAACCTCCGACTCTTCCTCCTCTGAGCACCGGCTCGCGAGCAGCACGTGGCTGAGCTGCGCGCCGTGGCGGCCGCTGCGCGACGACACCCGGAAGACCCTAAGCGCGCCCGCCCGCAGGACCAGCAAATCCGCCGGCGCCGCCCGCGGCGCGGCACCGGTGCGCGTTGGAGAACAGAGTGCTAAGACGAAGCCGAACTCGGGGATAGATCGGATCGGATCGGGATAACTCGTCGGCGGCGAGCGATGGGGGTAAGTGAGGAGGGGCGAGCCTTCTCAGAAGGCTCAGAAGTTCTTCAGCCTTCTGATAAGTTTTCTAAGCCTTCCCCGAAGACAGAAAAAAATCTCAGGTGGCGCGAGGGCTTCTGAAAAGCCCCGCCGCCTTCTGAGAAGGCCTTCTCATTTCCCCCCCTCGCTCGCCGCCGAACTCGGGTCGGGGGAGACCGGGATCGGATCGGATTCTCAAGGCAAGCGCGGATCAGGACTACTGCGGGACTACTCGCGGATCTCCGAGATCAAGCGGGTCTGGAGGATGTACCGGGCGCTGCGGCCGTTCCAGAGCGCTCCCGATCCCGGGCCCGCCTGACGGAGGGCTCGGTGGAGGCGGCCCCGCACTTCGGCAATTCGCCACACATCGGCGCCTGGAGACTGCTTGGACCCCTCCAACTTCCCGATTCCCCCGACTCTCCCAACTCCCCGCTGCTTTCCCCCCGCCCCCACTTCCCCGATAGCTTCCCCGGTGCCCTCGGCTGCGAGGGTGGGCAAACGAATACCAGCACCGCTGCCTCTGGGCCTCTCCTGGGGTGTGTGCTGGCAGGGGCTGCAAGGCGAGGCCCGCAATCCTGGGGCGCCACGTGTGCAGCCTGCCCCTACGCATCAGATGTCCGAAACGCCGGCTGGGGCTCAGAACTCGAAAGGAGACTGCAACCAAGTGAACCCCAGCGGGGGTGTCCGAGCCGATACCCCCTCGTCGATTCGACAAGCGGGGGTAGTGTTCGAAATTGGTCGCAGAACCGTGGCGACGAACGACCAGTAGCCACATCGGGATCCATGATTGATCAACAACGAGCCAGGAGATCTGACAGAATCTTGAGCAGGGACCGACCGTCCCAGCATTCCAATAGGCCTGCCATGAAATTCTCTTAGAACCCCCAAATGTTTGAGTAACCAACACAATGTTCTTAGAACACAACGCCGATGTGTTAAAGCAAGACAGCCCCAGCCAGAACTGTTATAACAACATCTTGTGCAACCCCCAAAAGGTTCTTAGAACATGATTTGGTGGGCCTATAGGCAAGCCAGGACGCCTCGCCACTGCTTTGGAATCCGACTGTGCGTCGCATTGGGACGCATCAGCACGTAGCCGAATCGAACAAGGTTGGGGGTAACTGATCGTCGGAACATCGGATCCGAGCCCTGACATCCGACGATGTGTTTTTGC